CTTAAGTAATGACCAAGGGGATTCACATTTCCTTTTATCTATTCTGCTTCATATTTGGAAATTTTCTGGAGTGTTTGTCAATATCCAACCAATCATAACCTATTCCCTGTTCTACAACATCCTGTTCTTATTTTACACTTCTCTAAAATAAGTACTTCCAAATCTCAAATTCTATTACAAAACAATAATCATAACTATTTGGTGCTGGCTGACATTGGGTCAATGAGACATCCACTTGGAGAGATCTAATACGTGTCTAAGTTGGAAAATCAAAGCTGGAGGTCAGAAGAAAGGATCAGGACTAGACAAATACATCTGAGAATCTGAGAACAGCTACCATAGAGATGGTGGCTGATGATTACTAAAACCATTTCACAATAAATTTGTTATCAAAGAAGGTGAACACACACAAAAAAAGGGAAACAATTAACAATATTAGATGCATCAACTTAGTGTGCTCTAAGTGTCCTGGGCCTTTTTCTTTTTCTCTTTCTACATTTTCTCACACGGTAACCTCATGAGACCCTGTGGGTTCAATTATCATCTCTAAGCAGATGACCCGACCCCCAGATCTACATAGTTATCCTTTAGTCTCTCCTAAACTGCTGTCTCAAATCACCAATTGCCTAGTAGATATTTCAAACCTAATGTTCAGTAAGTATCTCAAACTCAACATGCCTCCAAATTGAATTTATTATCTCCCCTCCCCTCAACCTACTGTAAACTTCCCTATTACTTTAGAGAACACAATCAGCCTCCATACTTCATAAACTCAATGTCATCCTTGAATCCTCTCTTTTATCTCACATATCGAATCAACCTTGTCATTTCTATCTCTAATATACAGCCATCTTCTTTACACTCACAATGCCATGCTCTCTTCACCTCTTTCCTGGATATCTGTTTATTTCAAGTTTTTCTCTGCTCCAACCGATCCTTCACAGAGCTGCCCAAGTGATTTTTAGAAAGCATGGTTGATCATAATACTTCTCTACTTAATAAATTCCAATGGCTCTTGATGACCTCTATGATATGATTCAAAATCTTATTTGACATTTAAAGCTCTTCTCACATATAATTCCCCTCCCAGTTACAACGGCCTGCTTAATGCTCAGCACTCAAGGGGCTCCATCTCCCTCTCTAGGCCCATGCCTGGAATACTCTTGATTTGCCTTTGAAATCCATTATTTCCTTTAAAATTCAGCTCAAATAACATTGTTTAATATGAAGTCTTTCCTGATCTTTCCTTCTAGAGCTGCTCTGTATTCATTTAAAAATTTTCCATTCTTTGTATTTTTTTCTGTTCAAGTCTTGTGGTACAAAATGACTAACATGGTAATGTTTTACATGATTGCACATGTATAACCTATAGCAGATTGCTGTATCAAGGAGGTGGGCAGAATGGGAGGAAAGGACAGAATTTGGAACTCAAAACTTAAAAAAAATGTTAAAAATTATTTTAACATTTTAATTAGGGGAAAAAGAAAATATTATTTTTAAGAAGTATTGAGTGCATACATATAAATATTCACATGTTCTCTCTTCCAATTAGAATATAAGCTCCTTAAGGGCAGGGCTTGTTTCACTTATGCCTTTGTATCCCTGGAACTTAGACAAGGGTCTGGAATATGGTAGACAGGTTCTTTAAAAATGCTTAATTAAAAGTGTGAATAAAATCATTAATAAGAGAAATGGAAATCAAAACCTTACTTTTCAGGCTCATACCTACTACTTTGGTAAAGAGGATAAAAGATGGGAATAATAAAAAAAAAAATAGGATTGTAGATAGACCGGATACTAAAAAAGTGTTGACTGTTGGTGGAGCTGTGAACTGGTCCAACCATTGTGAAAAGCAATTTGGAATTATCCTAAGAAAAACACAAAAATATCTATACTCTGACTCAGAGATCTCATTCCTAGGTATATATCTACAGGAAGACAATGAAAGGCCAACCATTCACCAAAATATCTATTGCAGCATTTTTTTGGTAGTGGCTAAAAGCTGGAAACAAGGCTAATGTTTATTGACTAGGGAATTTCTATACACTTCCGGTACACATATTAATATAAAAACTGATGAATATGAACAATAGAGAGAAACATGGGAATTTCTATGAAATGATACAAAAGAAGTAAGCAGAACCAGAAAAGAATATATACAACAAAAACAATGTAAATGGAAAAAAAGGAAAAGAAAATCATCAAAACTGAATCAAAACTGTGACATTATCATTTACAAGCTTGATTCCAAAGAAGAGATATGAGAAGGCACCTCTCACCCTTCTTTACAGATGTAGGAGACTTTGGGTGTGAAACAGTACATGGAACGTCAGCAGCTTTCAATATGTTGGTTAATTTTGCTGAATGGTTTTCCTTTTCTTTTGGGCTATGCTATAGGGACAGCTTTCTAGAACAGCAAAAATGTATAAACTGGGGGACACATGTGATTTAAGAAATAAATAATAAAAATAACTTTTTTTAAAAAAGAAAAATAAAGTATTTTGTATATTAGCAATATTCAGGAAAAGACAAGGACCAAAGACAGAATTCTACTTGGGAGCAGAAGAGATAACAATAGATGAAAAAAGAATGCAAACTTACTCAATTCTAATTTTGCTTCTAGTTTTTTTTATCAAGAGGAAGACCTTTGGACTGTAAAGGATGGGAGAAGGGCAGCCAGGTGGCTCAGCAGATAAAGTACTGGCCCTGCAGACAGGAGGACTTGAGTTCAAATCTGGTCTCAGACCAGACACTTGACACTTACTAGCTGTGTGACCCTGGGTAAGTCACTTAACTCCAACTGCCTTGCTTAAAAAAAAAAAGATGGGAGGGGGGGAATGGACAATAATGTGTTGAAAGCCAAGATAAGTAAGGAACTAATAAAACACTGACTAGCTGCCTTAAGTCCAAATCATAGAATACTGAAAAGAACTGGCGCATACAACTGTCAAAGAGTGAACTACTCCATACGAATGACCTTAGGTTCTTGTTACTACACCTGTAAAATTAGCAAGCTGGATATGACCTGTGCAGTGCCTTCTAGCTAAAAATCTGTGCCTCTATGTAAACTTATATTCCTTTAAACTTTTTAAAATTTATCCTAATACCTCTTAATTAAAATTGGATAACATCTCAAATTAAATAAAATGGGAAAAGAGGCCTAAAAAACTGCCCAAGGCCACATATTCAGAAGAACAAAGACTTTTTAGAAAGCACTGCCTCCCCACTTCTGTCCATGATCACACCACACAGTTCTAACTTAGAAATCAGCAGTTCTCAAAGCATACTTGGCAGACTCTTAGAGGTCCCCAGATGCTTTCAAGGTGTCCACAAGGTCAAAACTATTTTCATGATATTAAGATATTATGAATCATCTTCATATACTTCAACCAAAACCACTTATCACAACAGATGAAATGGAGATTACAGTCTGACAGTTTTCTATTAAGCCAGACACAGATTTACAAAAATATGTAAAAAATAATGCTGACCATCTTGCTTATTTTTTTTAATTTAGAAAACTTATTTTCCATCAAAAAGATTGCTGTTATTTTTATTTAATTCTTGAATTTTTTTTTAAATTTATGTTTCAATCTAATAGAAATAACTATTGTTAGACAAAACTCACAAAAACAAAAGGTCTTTGAATTCTAATTTAGAGAATTCATTTGAAAAAAGATTTTTATTTATGGGGTATTGTAATAGTTAGATTTCCCAGTGAACAGGCGATTAAATCACTATGATTCACTCTGGCTTTCCTCTCCAAAGACTGTATATATTTCTAATATCCAATAACTTGTAAGGGATCTTACCTAGGAAACAATCACTTAATCACATTTTGTGCTCAACACTGTTAGAAACTCTGTGAAGCACATGGAAAAAATTCATATAACTTTACTTGGGGTGGGAAAAAACCCCCAAAACATGTAAAATAGTTATAATACAAAGAAAATTAAAATAATCAACTTGATCCTAGATAAATTTTTAACAATCGAAAAGATAAATCATTCAGTTTGTTTTCAATTAATTCCAATAGCATGTGGATTCTTCCTTTTTATCAAGTGGTCATGTAATCCAGTTATAGTTAATAGATTTATATTCTAGAATTTTGTTCTGGCCTTCATAAAGTAAATGTGGTCCAAACTTTTCATGAGAATCACCACATGTGAAAATAAAATTAAATGCCAAATTTTGGCTTTCTACCTTTGAATCCAAAATAATTTTTGCTTGGCAGGTCTTGAGCAAGATTATGTCTACTCTGTACTGGATCCGTGATGATATGATATCTCTGCATTATACTACTTACAAAATTTATGTTACAGAGAATGTATCAAGTACTCAAGCACTTAAATTCCCTGACCTTTAATTTGACCATCTAAATTCTAGAAAATTAATACTTTTACTATCTACCAAGCAGGGATGTTAGGAGAAAAATAATTCTGAGCTGTAAAGAATTTTGTTAATCTGAGTTTCTGTTAAGCTTCTATTGCTTAAAAAATATTTAACTACTAACATCTCTATTTTCAACCTTATATCCATGTATTCCTAAGAAGACAATACAATTAAAACACTGCTAGACAAAACCCAGCAATTCATAGTTTGTATGATCTCCTAAGGAGTTAACAGCAAAATTTTACCCTGTAAAATTATCATCTGGTACTTGATAAAGAGTAATTAGGTCCAAGTAGAAAGAAATGCATCACAGGCTACTGACCATCTGAATGTTATCAGGAACTTTTGGGGGGCAAAATTTAGCAAAATAGACTATCTTAAACAGTCCATTTTTCATGATTATAAAGAAAATTAAGTTCTAAGTTGTTTGCATTTCATTTCTAATTTCAAAAACCACTGCCAATTACCTATCTGGTTTGTTTAGTTTCATGATTATATATGAAAAATGATTTCCATTTCTTTAACAATAATCCATATCTCAAGCACTTTCAAAATGCCTCTGACTGGAGCATTTTTATTACAGCTTAGTTCTTTCTGAAGAATCCTACCAGGTCCATCATCTGTATCATTCTGGCCAGCTTCCCAAACTTCTGGTTTTGTCCCAAAGCCATCAGTGGCTGAAGAATCTGTGTAGTCTGCAGGGTTAAATGTCCTAGGATTTGAAAGAATTGCAAAGTAAAGATAAAATTCCAACACCAAAATTCTAAAATGTTAAAGTATGGCTGCTTTGCTACAGGAAAAGTCCCATTTCCTTTAATTCTAACAGCAGCCCTCTCAGAAAAACCAAACCGAACCAAAATAAACAAAAAAACCCCAAACCAAAACAAAACCACCACATTCATTCAGTTTCGTAACACTGCATTTTGTTAATACACAATTACACTTGCTAAATTTAACTAGACATCTCTAAATCACCTTAATGATACTGTTGTATTTGTAATATTCTCCTGTATCAAATCTTTTCATAGGAATGAAATATAAGGTAAATATTCACAATTATAGAAAGCACCTGTGGCACAAACAAACCAACAAAAGCAAGATGGGTAAAGGAAAGAAGAGGGGAAACTAGTCAGACTGTAAAACTGATACCTACCCCATACCTTGGGATGAGAAACGCCCTGCCCCTCTCCCTCTCCCACGTCCAAATCCTATGAAAGGAAGCAAAAGAGAAATTTTGTGTAAAAAATATTTTATACATTAGCAAGACAGTATTTTAATTCCCTTTTCAACACTTTCCTTAACTGTCAATATCTCCTACTCTCTCTAAAAATACTATGTTCTTTATCTATACCAGGAAGTCCAACAACTAAGCACATTTTCCCTGTTAGCTACATACCACTTTCTAATCTGGGAGTCAATGCTGTAACAAACACGACGACAAAGAAAACCCATTAATCTTATCTCTGAGGTGTTTTAACAGGTTATTTGTGTTAAACGCCTACATGATAGTGATGGAATAAAGGAGTCTAGTTCCTTCAAAGAGTTAAATCATTGTACAAATTATTCAGCCCAATTGTTGGGACAATCAGTGACATCAACTACTAGGAGAGGCTGGCTTCCAAAAATAGGGTAGAGGTTTGTTGGGCTGCATTTAATACCCAGCTCCAGCAGCTCACCGTAAAGCACTATCCCTGTGGCAGGAGACTGTTAGGATTTTGATTTCTAATAGATAAGAATAAACTTACATACAAGGAAAAGTGGTAGAAAGGCCAAAGAAATCTCTGGGGAGGACAAGGACTTAAAACTTATTTAGACCTCTCTTTCCCACTTTTGTTTCTCCCTTTCTTTGTTATGATACTACACAATTAATACACAAACAGTACACAAAGTAGGCTCCCAAATTGATTTTTAAGTCTTTTGTCTAGCAAACCAAACATTTTCCTGTAGGAAAATGTCTTAAAATAATGAATGGGCCTCCAATGTAGCCTGTAAGGACCTAATAATACATCATGGTACCTTCTTAAAAATGTATTAAATCCAATAATTTAGAACAAAGTTTTGGTGACAAAATGTTCACTTTCTAACATGAGTTCTACCTTTCCAGCTAAAGCCCCAGCACAAAAACAGAACTTAACTATCATTTCTCTATGTCCTCTGTCCCTCCCAGTCCCCAATACCACCACCCCAAAATCCTTTCCTAGGAGATACAGGAGTAGTATTTTCCCTAGCTCCAAACTACTGGCAGGGAGAAGGCAGATATGAAATGGGGGTGAAGAGTGTGGTAGAGAGGTCCTCAGTAAAGGATAAATGTGGCAAATCATGTCTCCCTTGTATGTCCATTAACTATCATCAAACAACCACTAAGAGGGAGATAGGAGGGAAGATGGAAACTCTGGTCAGAGGTAGAACAGGAGCCAGTGGAGGTCAGTAGCAGCAGAGGTTTTGCAACAACATTGTATTAACTAATGTGCGCTGAGAGGGTGAGGTCATTTCATATGAAAGGGATGTTCTAAAGCTAGATGTGTTTAAGTCAAATATTGCCTTGGGATCTGATGCAATCAGCACATGTTATAAGAAAAAGGGCATCTAGAACAGGGAAATCAAACTCAAATAGAAACAAATCCCAGATGGCTCTAGACTGACTAGATAACCACAAATTAACATTCTTTGTTGTATTATCTCTTTATTGTTAAACATTTCCTGATTATATTTTAATCTAGTTCAACAGCCTCCTATGACACCTCTGATCTACAGGATGACATCATTGATAAGGTACTCTTCACTAAATATCCTCCATAAGAGCAGCAAACTAGACCCGTTTTCACTTCATCTGATATTAATAATCAAAAGTTCGAACAAAGCTCCTTGTTCTATCTTATATAATTGACATGCATAGGAAATACTGTTAGAGGACAGATATTGACAAGATATTTTGGTTCTGATGGAACATATAACTTCCATAGTTGTAAATCCATCAGAGAGAGAGAAAGGAGGAGGGAGAGAGGGGAGACAGGAGAGAGAGAAATGAGTGGGACACATAGGGAATGCATTAGTCCATCTAAATTTTAACAAGATATATATATATATAGTCTGAAGGAATAAACGATCAAGAACATCAAGGGAATTAAAAAAAAGAGAGAAGGAAAAGGATCTAGCCATACCATATCTCAAATGAGGTTACAAAGCTATAATTGTCATCTGATCCTCTCAACAGTCCTGTGATATAGGACTTTATCCCTATTTTATGAAGGAGGAAACTGAGACTGAGCGCAATTAAGGACTTGCTTGGGGTCACACAGCTAGTAAGTAATGTCTTAAGGGATGAGTCTAACTCTGGCCTTCCTAACTCTAATTTCATTGCTCTTATCCTCTGCACCACCACCTACCTACCTGAGAATCCTAACATTATTATGGCTTCCAGAAATAAGATGGTAGTCCCTTTGTACTCTGACTTGGTCAAAAGACAGCTGCAGTATTATATTTGATTTTGGAAGCTAGTGTTTAGGAAAAAATAAGCTATAAAGCTTCCAGAGAGAAGCAATCCAGGATGGTCAAATGCCTTATATCAATATCACATGAAGAATGAAAACTTGGGAGTGTTTTTTTTACAGCAGCTCTTTCTGTGGTGGCAAAGAATTGGAAATTGAGGGGATGCCCATCATGCTGCAGAATGGCTGAACAAGTTGTGGTATATGAATGTAATGGAATACTATTGTGCTATAAGAAAAGATGAGCAGACAGAAATCAGAAAAACCTGGAAAGACTTGTATGGTATGATGCTGAATGAACTGAGCAGAACCAAAAAAACATTGTACACAGTCACATTATGCAATGACTAACTTTGATATACTTTTCTCTTCTTAGCAGTGCAAGGATTTAAGACAATTCCAAAAGACTCAAGACTGAAATGCTGTCCACATCCAGAAAAAGAACTATGGAGTCTGAATGCAGATTGAAGCATATTATTTGCTCTCTCTCTCTTCTTTTTGTTTCTTCCTTCTCATGGTTTCTCCCATTGGTTCTAGCTCTTCTTTACAACATGACTAATGTGAAAATTGATTTAATATCAATATATATGTTGAACCTATATCAATTTACATGATATAGGCTGGGGAGAGGGGAGAGATGGGGAAAAATTTTGAACTCAAAATCTTATGGAAGTGAATGTTTAAAACTAAAAATGAATAAATTTATTTTAAAGAAAAGAAAAAGAAAACTGGGAGTGTTTGGCCTATAGTACTAGCAGTCCCTCAAGTACTGAAGGACTGTCACTTGTGAAAGTGGTCACACTTGCTCTGTTTCGTCCCAAAGTACAGAACCAGAAACAATGAGAAAATGCCAAGAAGCAAATTTAAGCTTGATATGAGGAAAATCTTCCTAAAAATTAGAGATGTCCAAAAGTAGAACAGACTGCCTCAAAAAGTAGTGGGTTCCCCATCATATGAAAATTTCAAGGATATGCATGACTATTGCTTTCCTAAGTTATACTAGATGCTCCCCTAAGGTCTCTTCCAATTCTAAGAGTCACAGTATAATGCAGAGTTTAACTTTTTCATTTGCATTTGGAAAGCAAAACTTGCTTATATACATATAGCATTAACAACTCTACAATGCCAAAAAGGTAGTTACTACTGAAGAATAGTTTCCTAATATGAAGAACAATGCTTCCATATCATTGTTATAACCCAAATTCATCCCTCTGTATCTTTACTCAGTCCCTTCCACTAACACCAGGGTCTTTAAATTACTCAAAGCCAGCCTCTTGAGCAACAAGAGTGGAAAGTATCAAATTTCTTGATTTGTTTATTTAGCAAAGAGCTCTTTTTTTAAAAAAGGCAACTGGGATTAAGTGACTTGCCCAGAGTCACACAGCTAGTAAGTGTCAAGTGTTTGGTCTGAGGCCGGATTTGAACTCAGGCCCTCCTGATTTCAGGGCTGGTGCTCTATCTACTGCGCCACCTAGCTGCCCCTAAAAAGATATTTTAAAAGGAATTTATATCAAAAAGTATAGTCAACTAGATGAATGATAGTAACAACTACCACATCCATTAATTATTCTAATATCATTGAAGCGAATGAAAATCAGATGAATGGTCCACGGAGTAAAGTGTGTTGACAATTCTTTGAAAAGAAAAGAATAAAATTTATGTCACAGAAAGTGCTTATCCTCTGACCCAGAAATTTCACTAAGCATACAACCCAACAAAATCAATGACAAAATGAAAGATCACATATGCTACAAAATATTTATAGTAGCATTTTTCTGTAGCAAAAAAACTGAAAATAAACGAGTTACCTATCAGCTAGAAAATGGCTAAATACATTTCAGTACATGAATATAATGGAGCATTACTGTGCTGTAAGAAAAAATATGATGAATACAGAGAACCATAAAAGATGACTAATGAAGTAAGGTAACCAAAATCAGGAAAGTAATACACGAAATGACTAAAATAATATAAATGCAAAGAAGAGTAACAAAACAAACGCAAGTAAATGCCACATGGAAAGACTTACATGAAATGATGCAAAAAGAAATAAGCAGAGCCAGGAAAAAAATATGCAACATGCAACAATGTAAACAGAAAGAACTACCACCAGAAAATAACTGACACTGAATATTACTATATTACAAAGAACAAAGAAGAGTTATGAGAAGACATTTCACTCCACTCTTCCACAGAGCTATAAAGTCAGACAGAGAGAGAGAAAATGTATGTAAATTGCTTTGCTGAAATTTTTTCCTCTTCTTCCTTTTTTATTAAAAAAAAATTATTTGTTATGAGGAAGGATTCTCTGGCAGGAAGCAGGAAATGGGGAAATCCAGGGAACAGAAAAGCAGTAAGAAAACTACTGAAAATTGAAGGCTGGAGTCTATAAAGCCCAAGCTTAGACCTAAGTGACAGCTCCCCTTCTCCCCCATCTTCTCTTAAGAGATTTTGTGGAAAGGGGACATGAACAAATTCTCAGTGACTTTCAGCTAAGCATACAGAATTTAGGTCTGAATGCGAGTTGAAACTGGCTAGGTTACTTACTACAGCTATTTGACTTTGAGCAAATCACTTAACTTCTCTGGGCCTGAGTACCTCATCTATAAAACGAGGTGGCTGGACTAGTTTTAACACCCTTTTCCAGTTCTAAATGTATGATCTTACTTTTTGACGCAAAACATGTGCTAAAAAGAATTTAAAATTAATGACTTATAAAT